AGACTAATGAAACCCACACTGTCTGGCTGAAGATGTAGAAGGAGACCAGTGAACCCATTCTGTATAGCTGAAGATGTAGAAGGAGTCTAGCGAAACCCACCCTGTCTTGCTGAAGATGTAGGAGACTTATGAAACCCACTCTGTATGGCTGAAATGCTACTGCCAGGGGCGGACTGACAACTCTTGGGGCCCCCAGGCAATAGGGGATCATGGGACCCCTGAGTCCTCGCCCACACTCAAAACCACACCCAAAAAAGCCTATGAAAGGTACCAGGGGCATCTCATGGGGCCCCCTACTGACCCCCGGACCCTCGGGCAGTGCCCGAGTTCCAAATGGTCAGTCCGCCCCTGGCTACTGCTGAACATGCTACTGCTAGGCCACACTGGAAGGCCAGTGGATTCAGCACTCTAGCCTGAATGTCCACTTCCTTTCCTGGTCTGCCGTGAAGTACCCTGAACCTCCCCGAACAGCTCACTGAATTTCTCTCCACTCTCCCGTCCAGGCCGCATAGCTTCCTGGGAACTGGAGGTTCCTAGCCACTGGGATGCAGTGCCGATTGTACTTAGTGAAACTATATTTCCCACAGTCCTTTTCTTTACAAAGCCTGCTCCTCCTAGTTTGATGTTGACCAATCAGGGAAGGACATAAAAGTCAATAGAGACATAGCTAACGGACATGCCGGGACTTGTTATCCCACAACTATAATTCTCTAAAGTCTATCTTTGCCTTGTTTTTTTGCAGAGGGGTGCTAGCCCCTGGCTACATTTGTATGGGAATACCACACAATATTCCCTTGCATGGGTTGAGTTCCAAAAAAACCTAATTGGGGGTATATTTTTTTCTACAGCATGTGTACAACTTTATCTGGCTGCCATGTTATTTTAAGGTGGGCAGTCGGGGAAGGGCGGCTCAACTGTCTATTTTTACCACCCTCCCCGACACAAGTGTAAATGAACACTTATTTTTACTGCACAGTGCTGACCTGTCTGATGCAAAAGACTGGGAGGACAATAACTACGAAATTCCTCTAAAGCTACTTTTCACCAGAAAAGAGAACGTTTTATAGATTTTTACTTAATAGCATAAAAACAAAAATTAAGGAAAAAAGGGTTGGGATGACACAAAAGGGCAAGATACTGAATCAAACTGTGAAACACATAGAAAGATCTAAGCATTTCAAATCAAAATTTTCCATCTCTAGACCTGCAAAGGGGTGAGAGAGATGACTTCTCTGCTGCAGTTACATAATCCAGGAATGTGCGATCCCTGAAGGCAAACCAAAGGTTGTTGAACAGGTGTCTCTATTTTATATAAAACAAATTCAAATAAATTCATATTTCAGTCTCTCATATAAATTCAAATAAATTCAATTTCAGTCTCTTATAAGAAGAAAAATCCTACCCTGCAGGAGAACTGAAATGCTGAACTTTCAGGTCTTGTACCTTTGAATATTTCCCTGGTGGCTCCATTTTCTTCAAAATACTCAGCTGTTGAATTGCCATGGGCCACCACAATTGCCCACAATTTAATATACCTTCCAGAGACACAAAACTGATAAAGAAATTAACATACATTTACCACCCAAGACTATGAATCGGTAAACTTCGGTGCTGTAAAATCTCATCACATATTTACTAAACTGGATATGTAAATGTTATCATTCTTTGCATATGAAGGTGCTGTACACACATGACAAAAAGGAGACCTTGCCATATGTTCTTGATGCTCTGCAAATGCTCCTCAGAGGCTGAGGTAGATCGATGTTGAGTCAAATGGATCAACAAAGTTCACAGTTTGGTCAAATATTTGCTTCACATTGCACAGTAGAATGATGAAACAACTGTTGACGGCGGTGACTCCAACACATGAGTTAATTGTTCACCCCAGTAGACCCTTTCACCAGAATGAACATCAACATGCTCGAAGATGCTGCACACCTATAACAGCCTTAAAATACTAACCTCAAAAGGCTTTAAAGCCAACTGAACATTCAGTTTAAAGGCTCATTCAGATGGCAGATTAGTGCCATCCTCCATGCAGAGCTGCTGGATGCACATGCAGCACCGGCACAGAGACAACCGCATGTCAAAGTCTGACATGTTGGCAGGAATGGATACCATATTCGAATGCACTCTGCTGTAAATCAGTTAGATACATTCTAAGTGCATCAAAATATAAAGAAGGGGGACTCAATGAAAGAGTTACAACACTTTTCTAGCGGTATGGTTCCTGTGAAATTACCTAATTCAGAATACCCTTTCAACGGTTTTGGTGGAAGGTCCAACATATGCTCCAGATCCTGGTAGTTCTTATTTCCCATTTTCGGTGGTGACAGAGCCAAAAAGAAGTACTGGCAGGTCACAGATAACCAACCTGGTGGTAATTAAGACCAAATCTGAACTGGCATACAAAGAAACACCAGTGCTTAGAGCTGGGCATATATGTTCTTTGAAGCTGCCATGAATGTAACAGCTCCTCACACAGGGCTCATGGTTTTTAGGACACCGGTGGTTGCTGGCTTCCTAGCAAATGATGACTAAACCCCACTACCAGTCATCCACCAGCCGGGAGATTCCCCCACCCACATCTAAGTGTAAAGAAAGGGGAAGGATACCCCTCTCTACTCCTAGAATGCAGGCGCTCTTTGATAAATAGCACACGGACCTCCCTTCGTTATCAGAGGATGACTGGGAGGATTGTCTTCTACAGTGTCTCCCTACTATGATCTCAGCCATGGACCGCTTCATACAGCTTAAATTTATCCATAGAGTATATTACACCCTGCGGCGCTTGGCTGTGATATATCCTTGATAGATCACTGTGATATGGAGGTGGAGGTGGGCACGTTTCTCCATATGTTGAAATGGAATCAGTCGGCTCCGCCGACAATCTCGGGATGGGAATCGGCAGTCAACGGGGCGCTTCTGTTGTACAAACTTACTTATATGAGCCATAATTGTCCAGCTAAATTTGATAAAATATGGACTGGGTGGGTGGAGGACTCAGGGACTTACGGTATAATAATTGGCTGGAAATGCTTGCTGATGTTATTACCCAAACATGGCAATGGACATGAATCACTGTGGTTGGGGATGCATCATTGGCGGCACTTGGTTGTGATATATCCTTGATAGATCGGCTGTGATATGGAGGTGGGCACGTTTCTCCATATGTTTTGGGAATGTTCCAAGCTTCTCCCCTTCTGGGTTGGGGTGCTGGATACTATTAAAGCTGTTAGTAAACTGTCTATCCCCATGGTTCTGCTGATTATGTTGCTAGGTCTCTTGGACCTCGTGGAGATGTCTAAGCATAATAGACTTTTTGTCTTCTATGCTTTTTACTATGCTAGGAGAGAAATTCTGTTGAAATGGAATCAGTCGGCTCCGCCGACAGTCTCGGGATGGGAATCGGCAGTCAACGGGGCGCTTCTGTTGTACAAACCTACTTATATGAGCCATAATTGTCCAGTTAAATTTGATAAAATATGGGCTGGGTGGGTGGAGGCTCAGGGCCTTACAGTATAATAATTGGCTGGAAATGCTTCCTGATCAGGGGCGGACTGACAATTCATGGGGCACCCGGGCAATAGGGGATCATGGGGCCCCTGTGTCCTTGCCCAAATTCAAAAAAGCCTATGAAAAAGGTGCCAGGGGCATCTCATGGGGCCCCCCACTGACCCTGGGCCCTCAGGCAGTGCCCGAGTTTCCAAATAGTCAGTCCGCCCCTGGTCGTACAATATCAATACAGTTCCTTCAACCTCTCATGGTATGAGTCCCAAAGAAGTGAAAAAAGTCCATATCTATGGAAAAGCTAACATTTTACAGCCTGTCCAGTCCATGGGCAGTTATAGAGGATAAGCTACTGCTGCGCCGCTTTAGTTTTCCAAAAGCATGGTTATGGTTTGCCTTATCAGACCATAGGCCTTGCCACATGTGCCCCTCCAAAGAGGTCCAGACTATTCTTCATTTTGATCTAACTTGTCCCAAAACCTCTAATACCTGCAAGAGGGGGTTACAGCCCTTTATAGATCTACTCACACATTATATATAACTCCCCCTCTTAGCTCCACACCAATGGGCAGATAATACCAACCAAGGGCAGGAGCCCAATAGCTTGCAGCTTCTCCAAAAGACCCAGATCCTTTTGGGGGCCCCTCCCTGATTGCTATCAGAGTAAATGGTCAGTCCACCCCTGTTGCTGATGTTATTACCCAAACATGGCAATGGACATGAATCACTGTGGTCGGGGATGCATCATTGGCTGCTATGATGTTGGCTGCACAGTTGATGGTGTCTTAGTAACCAATGATGCTGTACAGAGTATGCACTGACGACAGGTGTGTCCGTGGTACAGATCCACGGGCTTCAGTGCTGCCCCCACCATGCCTTTGATAAATTCATGTACCTGGCACTGCAGAATTCTCAAGTGTGTTGTGCACACTCTTTATCAATGTCCCAGATGGTGCTTAAAGTCTTATAGTGTGTTTTCGTTAAAAATCAGCTACATCCTAAGTAGAAAATGTAAATCTTGTACCCTACTAGCATGCTGCAAGGACCATTATTCTCTGTGTGGAAGCAGTGGTCTCTTTTCACAGGTCTGGCACCTAGGTTTATAGATTTTCCATTATCAGTGGCAAAAACAACAATGTTTCTGTCATTGATACTGACATGATTACTTAATGAATTGTCTCCTGCCATAGATTCATTAATACTAATACATATACGAAGGAGATATTTGTTTTGAGTCCCATAGACATTTTGATACAGTGTTCCGGCCTGATGAAGAATTTTGTGGCTCTTGAAATGCATTGGAATGCATCTTGTTTTTCTTTTGTCATTTGTGGAAAAAAAATACGAGATTTAGGACTTTTGAGACATTTGTTTGGCACACTTATTGACACAACTATCTAGTTCTGTTTGTCCTCTTAGGCCAAATGGAGGCATACCACTAGAGTGCATTGCACGGCATTCACTATTCAATATTTCTTGTTACCACTCACCCCAGCCAATAACAATGTACCACCAAAAATATCTTCTTTGGGAGGTGAAGGTGAGCGTGAGTAGAGTGTGCAAATACATCCCCTCCACCAGAAGCCAGGAGAAATTAGCTAAGACGGAGTACTGGAAAAACGCCATGGCCACCTTACAGCCCACCTGAAATACAGACAGGACACAGCTTAACTCAAGTCAATAAACAGGAGACAAGTGAGTACAAAATGAACATAGCTTATATCTACCATAGCTTATACAGTTGCAAGAAAAAGTATGTGAACCCTTTGGGATTACGTGGAGTTTTGCATGACTTGGGCATAAAATGTGCTCGGAACGTCATCTAAGTCACAACAATAGAAGAACACAGTCTGCTGAACATAATACTACACAAACATTAGATGTTGCCATGGTTTAATTGCACATAACATGTAAACATTCACAGTGCAGGGAGGAAAAAGTATGTGAGGCCCTAGCTTAATGACTTCTCCCAGAGCTAATTGGAGCCAGGAGTGAGCCAACCTTGACTCCAATCAGTGTGATGATATTGGATGTGTTGCTGACAGCTGTCCTGCCCTTAAAAAACATACACCTGTTTTGGGTTTACTGGTTTCAAGAAGCACTGTCTGATGTGAACTATGCCTCGCAGAAAAGAGCTCTCAGAAGACCTACGATCAAGAATTGTTGACTTGCATGAAGCTGGAAAGCGTTACAAAAGTATCTCCAAAAGCCTTGATGTTCATGTGTCCACGGTAAGACAGACTGTCTACAAATGGAGAAAGTTTAGCACTGTTGCTACTCTCCCTAGGCGTGGTCGTCCTGTAAAAATGACTGCAAGAGCACAGCACAGAATGCTGCATGAGCTAAAGAATTCCAGAGTGTCAGCTAAAGACCTACAGAAATCTCTGGCACATGCTAACATTTTTGTTGACACATCTACAATAAGGAACACATTAAACAAGAATGGAGTACATGGGAGAACACCACGGAAGAAGCCATTGCTGTCCAAAAAGAATATTGCAGCACGTTTGAAGTTTGCAAAAGAGCACCTGGATGTTCCACAGCACTACTGGCAAAATATACTGTGGACAGATGAAACCAAGATTGATTTGTTTGGGAAGAAAACACAACATTATGTGTGGAGAATAAAAGGCACAGCACACCAACATCAAAACCTCATCCCCACTGTAAAACATGGCGGAGGGAGCATCATGGTTTGGGGCTGCTTTGCTGCCTCAGGGCCTGGACGGATTGTTGTCATTGATGGGAAAATGAATTCTAGAGTTTATCAAGACATTTTGCAGGAAAACGTACGACCATCGGTCCACCAACTGAAGCTCCGCAGAGGATGGGTGATGCAACAGGAAAATGACCCAAAACATATAAGTAATTCAACAAAACAATGGCTGCAACAGCACAGAATACGCCTTCTGGAGTGGCCCAGTCAGAGTCCTGACCTCAACCCGATTGAAATGCTGTGGCATGACCTTAAGAGAGCGATTCACATCAGACATCCCAAGAATATTGCTACACTGAAACAGTTTTGTGAAGAGGAGTGGTCCAAAATTACTCCAGATCGTTGTGCAGGTCTGATCTGCAACTACAGGAAACGTTTGGTTGAGGTTATTGCTGCCAAAGGAGGGTCAACCAGTTATTAAGTCCAAAGTTTCACATACTTTTTCCTCCCTGCACTGTGAATGTTTACATGTTATGTGCAATTAAACCATGGCAACATCTAATGTTTGTGTAGTATTATGTTCAGCAGACTGTGTTCTTCTATTGCTGTGACTTAGATGACGTTCAAAGCACATTTTATGCCCAATTCATGCAAAACTCCACGTAATCCCAAGGGGTTCACATACTTTTTCTTGCAACTGTATATACCAAACTACATAACTGACCTGATACCCAAATACTACCCTACCCGTGCCCTCCGCTCCTCACAGGACCTCCTTCTCTCTAGCTCCCTGGTCTCCTCCTCCCACGCCCGATTGCAGGACTTCTCTAAGACTTCCCCCATCCTCTGGAACTCCCTACTCCAATCCATCAGACTGTCACCCACCCTCCTCACCTTTAGGCGCACCCTGAAAACCCTCCTCTTCAGGGAAGCCTACCCCAACCTCACCTAACACCTGACCTCACCTAACAACCTCCTCCACTCTTCCCACCACTCCATCCCCACAGCCATCTCCTCCTAAACCACCTTCCCCTCCCTCCTAGATTGTAATCTCGAAAGAGCAGGGCCCTCGAACCCCTCGTGTACTGTTTTGTTACTGTCTTGTCTCATGTTCTGTCCCCCTTGCTACTGTACAGCACTGAGCATAGCCTTTGGCGCTATATAAAAATACTGTATAATAATAATATCTTTCCTGTGGTTTGATTATGCAGGGAAAAGCAAAAGGTTCATTTTTAACAATGACCTCACTAGCAGCACTTGACTCCAGTTCTCTTCCTTGCTGCTCCAGGATACATAGAACAATAACGTGTGCTTCTGGATATAAAGAGCACATGACTCAATTTCCTTCTTCCCCCATGAAAACGCTGATCCTTGGTGACCATGGATGAGTGAAGTGGAGAGGGTTTGGGGTTTCTTTTGTTTTTTTTTTTGTTTTTTTTTAGCAAAACATTACCATTTCGGTGAAATGCATTCAAATCAATGGGAAAGAGGAAATAAGGAGGGGTTTTGGCAGTTTTTTAAAAGGCTCTTGAGGGTTACAGATGCTCATTCAACTATTCTGGCAAAAAATACCCCACCCCCCATTTTTATACAGAAAACAAAAACAGTGGAAAAAATGAAACAAAATATTACACAGTACACAAATTATCACATGTATGAAAATGAAAAAAAAAACACAAAAGTAAAAAAAAAAAAAACACACAACGAAATTTAGAACTGTTAATACAAAACAAATACAGATTAACAATGGTCAGTCAATAGGTAACTGGGGAAATGAACCTAACAGTTGGCTTTCCAGTAAGAATACTGCTTAGCCAGCACCTCCAGATAAAAGCTGGCAAGTCCCCACTAATGTTTAACTAGCGATATACACATTAAAAAGTTATTACCGTAGACATGGTGCAATGATCAACATCCTCATCAGTGAAGAGAATGGCATCCTTGACAAACACTGCCGCACCACGTATGATAAAGGACACAAATAAGTTCATATGGATGAAATTTCTGGGACAGTGGAGTTTCCTGTGGAGATAGAACACAAAAGGGCTTATATATTATATTTCTAGATTAAAATTATGCAGTAAGGGACTGAGCCAACAGCTTTTGAGCTTGTGTTGATGGCAATAGTTTGATCATTCAGAATTCATTGACAGGTAGATTTGACCTGTTATAAAAATTATATAATAAACAGTGCAAAACAATACCCAACAAATTTCACATAATAAAGGAATAAAGTGAAAAACTCATATTTTGATTTAAAGTGTCCAAAATTAATGTGTCCAAAAAATATATATATAAAAAAAAATATAATAAATAAATAAAAATATATATATATATATATATATATATATATTATAAACAATAAAAAATATATAAAAAGCTTTTCTCCAACTTCAGAGTGCTTCACCAAACACGAATAAATATGTATTGTGGTTATCCTTCTGTGATAAGTGCTTCCACCATCCACCAGTGAAAAAAAACCAACATTAATTGCACTCACCAGATAATGGCGAAGAGTACACCTTTTAGGACTTTTAGGGACCCTACACCCCCTCTTATAGCCTCCAGACCTCCATTCCACCACACCAGACTAAGATGATTCTTCCACCTCCTTTCTCCAAAACCGCTCCACCGTTGTGCCAAAGAAGAAAATATTGCATATAGTGTGATATTGCTAATGACCTCCTCTTACATCTATAGTAATAATGTCAGGTCACTCATGGTTCACAAAAACATTAAAGGCTTTTTATTATATAGCCTCCATCGGCCAAACACAGTCAAATACCATCCAGGATCAATTGCAGAAATCCCACAACTTGCTGTGAAGAGGATGACAGTATGTCTGACAGACAGATCCCAAAAATGGCCGCTGGAACGCACCGCTTGGTATGCGTTCCACTCACCGGTGACGTATGGCGTTCAAACAATGGATTGGAAGTGCGTCAACGCATTTCGCCCCTCCCACTCAAGACCTTTAAATCAAAATATGAGTTTTTCACTTTATTCCTTTATTATGTGAATTTTGTTGGGTATTGTTTTGCACTGTTTATTATATATTTTTTATGATTTGGTGTTTACACTAGTGCACAGCAGTATTTCAAATTTTAGGGGTGGGGATTGTTCTGTGGTGCAGGAGTATATATTTATATAGATTTGACCTGTTGCTGACCTCCTTCTGACCTGCATTAAGCAGGTTTTGCAAATCCATTGACATGGGAATGCACAACCCACTTGAAATGAATAAAAGTCCACAGGCCCTTAAATATGTGATGATACCAGAGATCTCAAAAGATGAGAGCAACAGTGGCATAGAACTAGATTCCTGGAAGACTTCTGTTAGACCTATTTAATCACTTTCATTAACACCTCCTCAAACAGTTTTCTCCAACTCTTCCACCTTTAACTCTACTTCATCCCTCACCACCACTACCCACTATTAACTCACGGAAATTGACCATCACTTCAAAAACAAGGTTTATGCAATTTGTGACGAGATTGCCAATGTCCTGATATCTTCCCCAACTAACGTACACCATTCCATCATGTTCAGCACTTTTCTTATTTAATCATGTTACCACAGAGGAGGTTCCTATACTTCTGTCTAATGCTTACCTAACCACCTTCCCTCACAACTACTCTGCTCACCCTCTGCTCTATTCTTTGCTTTTTAACTCACATTTGCAATCTCTCCCTCTCTACTAGCATCTGCCCCACCCATCTAAAACATGCACTGGTCACCCCTCCTATTATAAAATCCTCACTAAACCCCGTCTGTCTGAACAACCTAAAACTCATCTGCTTGATCTTCTAAACTTCTAAAACGCCTATCATACAACTGTCTGAGCCACCACCCCACTGTTATCAACCTTCTCGACTCTTTTAAATCTGGCTTCTGCCCAGAAGACTCCACAGAAACCCAACAAAAACCCACCAATGACTTACTATCTGCCATAACCACTGACCACTACTCCATACTCATACTCTTGGACCTTTCTGCTGCCTCTGACACAGTTGACCACCTGCTTCTTGACAAACTCCACTCCCCAAAACTCTACCCTTTCCTGATTCTCCTCCTCCTATCTCAGCACACCTTCAGTGTCACCTACAACTCTATCTTCTCCTCTCTCCTCTTCCTCTTTCAATATGAGTCTCAGAAGGCTCTGTCCTTGGGCCTCTTCTGTTGCCTATCTATATCTCCTCCTGCTGGGTCAGTTGGTAACCTCCCATGGTTTTCAATACCATGTTGATAACTTCCCATGGTTTCCAAGACCATCTATATGCTGACAACACCCAAATCTATCTCTCTACTCCTCAGCTCACCTCTTCTGTTTCTTTACCCATTACTAACTTATAAATTGCCATATCTGCATGGTTGTCACACCACCTCAAACTCAATCTTTCCAAAACTGAGCTCATAATATTTCCTCCCCCTTTGTCCCTTTCTATGATGAATGCCGCTGTCAGACTTTTTCCTGCTTATCAAACTGCTCAGTGTCCTCCAACCCTCTCTACCAATTTCTCCATTGGCATCCACTCACCCAATGCATAAAATTTAGAACACTAACTACAAAAAAGACATCCACAACTCTGCCCTAAGTTATGTCACCACTCATCTCAAGATATCATCCAAACCATTGTTTTCATTCCTACTAAGACCTCCTGCTCTATAGCCCCTTTGTTACCTAATCCCTTGCTTGTCTCCAGGACTTCTCTAGAGCCTCACCCTCCCTCCCTACCCCAATCAACCTAGCTGTCTCCTACTTCAGGAAATCCTCTTTAGGAAGCCTATACCACCTCTACTTAACACATTTCCACACAGTTATTACCTCTTCTATCACTCACTTCTTTATTTAGCTTTTAAGCTGTCACAAGAAGGGTCATCTAAACTTTCTTGTATGAAATGTTTATTGTAAATGTACTGTCTTCCTTTATTTTGTAAACTGCTGTAAAAAACTGTATAATAATAAAAATGTTTTCAGGTGTTGAGTATGTAGCAGAATTCATCCCCCTCTTTTTTCCAAAAACTGGAAGCAACACTTGTGAGTACTAATAGGGCCTTTGTGTTCAGAGCTGCTTCTCTCCTCATACATGTCAATGGAAATGCAAAAGCAGCTGAAGCAGGTTGATGCAGGTTAGACAGAAGGTGCACAGTGGCTAAATGGTTAGCACTTCTACCTGGCAGTACTAGGGTTGTTGGTTCCAATCCCAACCACAGCACCACCTGCCTGGAGTTCTCCCTGTGCCTGTATGGGTTTCCTCCCACCACACCCAAAGATGTGCTGGTAGGTTGATTGGCTCCTGTCTAAATTGGCCCTAGTATGTGTATTTGTAAATTAGTGACCTTAGATTGTATGCCCCCTTGAGGGTTAGGGACTAATGTGAATGTACAATATATATGTAAAAGTGCTGTGTAAATTGATGGCACTATATACGTACATGAAAAATACATTTTTTTTTTTTAAAAAAGCAGGTTTGAAGGACATCAACTACTGTTCAAATGGGCCCACCAATGAAGAATCTCAAATGCAATCAGAATACACCTGAAAGCTTTCTGCCTTTGCTCATCCACATGGGTCCTTATAAAAGATAAATTAAACTTTATGAGCAATGTTGATCCTGGTCAGATCCTGGTCCTCCATGTGAAAAACAATGCGATCATACTCCACTAGTTTATTCAAACAAATATATCCATCAGAAAAGGAAACTTTTCCTGGGAGAAACATGGAAGCGAACATTGCTGATTCCTCATTCTGCAAAGGCAAGTTGCTTGGCTGCCATATTCACCCTTTGATCTTTATTCTTTAAGGCAGAATCTCAGAAAATATATGCAGATAGAGATGTTTGCCTTTTCTGTGACTTTTCTGCTTGACATACTTGTGAGCAATTAGGAAAGTAATGAAGTTGGGTTCAGCATGGCAGTCATCATTTTTTTCTACTTGCCTGATCTGGCCATCAGTGCTTGCGTTGACTGTCTGTCTGAAGCCTTATGCTATCCTAGCATCTGGATAAGATCTTTGGAAGTAAAGTCTTTACTGGTACCAAAGCTATCTGCTCTTCCTTGTAATTTTAAATTTTAAATATAGCGCCAAGTTCGCACATCACTGAGCAAAGTCGCAAAATCGTTTTCAGTGTCCGATGACGAATTTCCCCCACGAATCATCACTCAATTCTGCAAGTGGTTCTGATTTACTATTATCGCTGTTCTCTAGCTGTCTAACACTGCTTTTGACCTAAAGGGACGCTTTTGGACGCCATGGACTTTTCTAAGTTTCCAGGCAGAAAGAACAGTAAAAATGCAGGCAGGGGCGCCGGACAAAGCACTCGGGACAAAATGTATGTGAAATGGTTTGATACAGTAATGTTATACTATGTGATTTTAGTGAATGTCACTTTTTGTCATTTTCGAATTTCCTGCCAGTTCCAGCCCCGTACGTCCCGACGTCGCAGGGGACGGAAACCAAGCTGACAGATGCCGGCATCCGCCAGGAGGACATTACAGGGGACACTGCAGGAGGGACATCGCAGGGGGAGCGCAGGACAAGGTAAGTGATCGAGGATCGCGGAGCAGCGCCGCATGGTAAGCCTGAGTGTAGCTCGGGGTTACCGCTTGTGGTACTGAAACTTTACCCCGAGCTACACTCAGGAATACCGCCAGGGAGGTTAAGCCTTATCATCTAGGAGTCCATTCTATTTGGTGAGTGCGGGCCATATTGGAAGTCACGGATGGTGTGAGCACATTGGATTTCCTTTAGCACCATTTTTCTTTTATTGGAGCACTTTTTTTTCACCATTGATTTGGTACAGTGGACTTTTTTTCATATATTTTCACTTATATTTATATTTGTTTCACCGATGAAATATTAATTTTCACTGATAATTTTTTATTATTGATATTATATATATTATTTCTATAAATGTTTTGCGCTGTTTTATATTCAAATTTAAGAAAAAAATATAAAATTACATGAAGAAAAGGTTTACAACTAATATTTAGATAGGAAATGGAAACTCAGTTTGGGTTA